TTCCTGTAGTTGCTGCTGCTGCTGTTGTTGCTGCTGCTGCTGTTGCTGCTGCTGCTGCTGCTGCTGCTGCTGCTGCCGGCGAGCGCTGGCACAGAATGAGGCTCACCGTGTTGTCCTCAGCTGCTGCGCAGATGACTGAAGGAGAAAGAAAGGAGACAGCATGAATATCGTCTCCAGGGTAGTGTGGGTTGAAAGAAACACAGCTGAGCTGTTGCTGCTGCTGCTGCTGCTGCTGCTGCTGCAACTCTTCCCCTTCTGTCTGCTGCAAGCGAGAATCATTCCTCCCGCTGCTGCTGCTGCTGCTGCTGCAGTTGCTGCTGCTGCTTCTGCTGCAGCTGCTAGTGTATAGGCAGAGACAATGACCCTTAGAAAACGCAAAGGAGACAGTCCCTAGGGGGCCCCCTGCTGCAGCAAAAGAACGCTTGCTGTCTCCGCAGGGCAGCTGCAGCATGGGGGCCCCCTGAGTGAAGGAGAAGGCACAGAGTTCGCTGCCTCTGACACCAACAGCCACGTGCTGCTGCAGCAGCACGAAACCATCATCTTCCTGCTGCTGCTGCTGCTGCAGCCAGGGGCCCCCCGACCCAGCGAGGCCCCCCTGAGGGAGCAAACAAACAAAGCTGCTGATCTGTGACACTCTGACTGCATGCAGCTGCTGAATATACACTTGCTGATGCACCCACAACTCGCTGCTGCTGCTGCTGCTGCTGCTGTTGCTGCTGCTGCTGCTGTTGAGAGCAATACGAAGAATAAGGACCCGCCCGTCTCCGCCGCAGCAGAAAGTGAAGCCCCCGCAGCAGCTGAGGGCGCAGACGCGTCTCCTGGGGTGTATCTCCACTAGCGGCTGCTGCACTGCAGCACGAGGAGAGGCCCAATCCCAGTACTGCCCCCGGTGTGGCTGCTGCTGCTCCGCTGCTGCTGCTGCTGCTGCTGCTGCAGGGACTTGCAGAAGCACCACATGGAGAGTCCCGTGTTCATCACCCAGCAGAAAGACTGCAGACAAGACAGAAGAAACCTTGAGCTGCTGCGGTGTTGTCTGAGACACCAGAGCGATGCAGCACATCACTCTGTTCGTCGTGCGGCTGCTGCTGCTGCTGCTGCTGCTGCTGTTGCTGCAAGGCGCAGCCTGCGGGCCCTTGCGGTACCGAGGCAGGCACACAGTGGCCAGCTGCTGCAGCTGCAAGGCACTGCCAGCATCATCAGATGCAGCAGCAGCAGCAGCAGCAGGAGCAGCAGCAGCAGGTACAGCAGCAGCAGAGGTCCCAGGGTGCTGCTGCTGCTGTCCCCAGCAGTAGAACTTCACGGCGCCTGTATGGGCCCCAGCGACAACAAAGCCAGCAGCAGCAGCTGCTGCAGCTTCAGAAGAGCTATCTAGGCCTGTCAGCTCCGCCCAGCTGCTGCTGCTGCTGCTGCTGCTGCGGGCCAGCGGCAGCAGCGTGCTGCTACAAGCAGCAGCAGCAGCAGAAGCAGCAGGTGGAGCTGAAAGGGGGCCCAGTGAAAAGACAGAAGAAGACGAAACACGAACTCCGCAGAAGGCCTCTGCTGCTGCCCATGCAGTGCCTTGTAACATGTTACACCCTCCCTGCTGCTGCTGCTGCTGCTGCTGCTGCTGCTGCTGCTGCTGCTGCTGCTGCTGCTGCTGCCGTAGACATGAGATGAGCCCCCTGATGGGCCGGAGGAGACACATGCGGATGCATCCATCTGCCCCCCCAAGAAGGAGACAGTCATCAACAACCCCTGTAGCTGTTATGGGAGAGGGGACGCAGCAGAGCAGCAACCAACGAAACGGTGTTTCTGCTGCTGCTGTTGCTGCTGCTGCTGCTGTTGCTGCTGCTGCTGTTGTTGCTGCTGCTGCTGTTGCTGCTGCGCAACGGGCAACGAGATAAACGTGGCCATAGTTTGTTGATATAATTAAATTGTCTCCTTCTGTCTCCTCGCAGCAGCAGAAGAAGACCTCTCTAATGAAGTCCTTGCTGCTGCCTCCTAGCCAGCCACAACCCCCCTTGCACACTCCTGCTGCTGCTGCTGCTGCTGCCGCTGCTGCTCTTGCTTCTGCTGCTGCTGCTGCAGAACTTGGTGGGGCATCAGCAGCAGAGGATGTCTCTGTCAAACCCCACGCGGCTGAAGTGTCTCCTGTCTCCCCCGTTGCTACTTCTTCAGGCCCCCCTGTAGCAGCAGCAGCAGCAGCAGCAGCAGCAGCAGCAGCAGCGTTTGCAGATGTTTCTGTTACTGTTGCATCTGCCGTTGTTTCTGTTGTTGTTTCTGCTGTTGCTGCTGCTGCTGCTGCTGCTGCTGTTGCTGCTGCTGCCACACGACAACTCCAAGTCCAGCTTTCTAAACCTGCAGTTGTCATTACGCCTTGGCCCGTGCTCTGTGTCCCCTGCTGCTGTTGCTGCTGCTGCTGTTGTTGCTGCTGCTGTTGCC